GGGGAAGGGCAGGGCGTCGGCGTCGTCGGCGCGGGAGATGTGAACTTTAGCGGAGCTCTCCGGTCCGGCCGGAGAGAGGGAGGACCTGGACTGGACCAGCGGCTGGCGCGCTGCCCGGACGCTGTTCGCGCATGACCAAGGTGTAGGTGCTGCGTGGCCTTGTCACACGGGATACCCCGCCCGCCGCCCGACTCGGTCGAGGGCTGGTCGAGGGTGTCTCTGTCGTCCTCTCCCGGGTGCTTGTGCTGGTGCCCGGCCGGGTACCGCAACGCGCACCGCGCCCGAGTCACGTCCGGGGGCCGTGCCGTGCGTGGTCGGGTTGCACCCTCTTCGACGCGAAGGTCCACGACGCCGATGGGGCAGCGTAACTCGCGGGCGGCGCGAGGGCGGATACGTCGTTGTGGACGCGGAGCAGGTAAACAACGCCAAGGAGCTGGACTGTGGGCGGGGCGGGGCGGCCACTGGGCGCCCAAGCAGCAGCGAGGCGCGGGCCTCTGGCCGGGGGCCGTCATGTCGGTGGCGGGGGCGGGGGGAGGAGGGCAGACCGGGCGGGACGGTGGCCGTGTCGAATGGGGGAGTGAGGCACGCTGCTGTCCAGGGGCCGACACGGGATGAGCGGGGCGGGGCGTCCACGAAGCTCGGGGCGGCCACACACGTTGTCCGCCCGGACGGCCGACGCCTTTTGCTCCTTGTAGTCCACGCCACGCCGCGCCCTCCACGGCCTCCATCATCAGGCTCACGGCACGCTCTCGCGCCCACCGCCGCAGGTACGGCAGTACAGCGACGGTTACCAAGGGCGCCCCGCCCCGCCACGCACAGCGGGGTCCTCATGTCCGCCGCACGTGCTGTGCGGCGCTGTGCGGCGCCTCGCAGCCTCAAGTGCGCGGGCGGGGCGAGGCGGGCCCGGGGCGGCGGCTGCACACGCCGAGAGGCGTGGCGCGCTCGTGATCAGCGGCGAGAAAAACAGACTCGCGGCGGCGAGACGGCGGCAGCAGACAGGCGCGCGGGAGCCGCGCCCGATAGCGCAGGGCGGCGCGGGGCGCCCGGCAACAGCAGGGTCCACCCAGAGGGTCAACCCACCCACCGGGCAGAAGGGCCAGGACGGCCAGCAGGGCCAGCGGGGCCAGCAGGGCCAGAAAGGCTAGCTGGGCCAGCAGGGCCAGCACTGCGGGCCCTTCTGGCCCGGCCCGACGCAAGTAGCCCAAGTCCCCAAACGTCTACATATGCTCCTTGCCGCTGCGGTGGCCGTCCTGTTCCCCGCGTCGCACCAGCCGCCCCCGCTCTGTTCTCGACGCTTCTCCTTCCTGAGAGCCCCCTCCGCCGCGGTGGTGGTGGCGGCGCCGGCCCAGTTGATAAGGTGGCGTGTGTGAGGACTTGTCTCGCCCCTCGGCCCGCCGCGACACCTGCCCCCCCGGGCAGCACCTGTTATCAGCTGCAGACGGTGACTGCCCCGCGCGGCCCGGGCCCCGCAGGTGTCGAGCCCGGCGCGGAGCCCTGCCGGGGTGTAAACACGTCAAGGAACCCCGCAACTGACGCCCGCCAGCCGCGCAGTTACGGCGACACCGCCCGCCCTGCCGCGCCCACTCGCGGGCCGTCGCGGTGCGCACGCCGCGCAGCTCCCGGTGGCGCCGCCCGATGCTCGGCGGCCCCGGTGAGGCGCGGTGAGTCACACGGGCGCAAGTTCCTGCGCAGTTCAACAACTTGAACGATGGATCCCGACGACGCGTACAAGTGTACTACTGTCCTCTGCAGCTGCTGCGGCAGGGGCCGGCACCAGGACGACCCCTCGGCTGACCCCCGCCCGGGACCCCGCGGGTCAGGAAGGAGCCCCGTTATCTCCCATCGGCGCGGGTGCAGGGTAGGGCGGGACGCCAACGCGGTGCCAACGCCGCACCCCGGCCTGACCAACGAGGCCGCCAATAAGTCTGTATCTCTATCTTTTCCCTTTCACCTCCAAATTGGATTTGCGGAGCAGCATAGCGGCGCGGTCGCGGTTGGTCGGCGGGGAGCTGCGTGACGGGTCGCACGGCGACGGCCCGCGGTCTCCTCTGCCAACCCGCGAGATAAGGGGCCACAAGGGCGCGGGCGGAGCCACGGCAAGGGCCGGCCGGCGGACCGGTGGCTGTGCCCGCGGGGGCCGGGAGCGGGCCGCGGCCGGGGGGCGTTGACGTCAGTGACCGGGCAGTATCGCCGCCGCAATCACCTCCCGGGTGGTGCCCGGGGCGCCGCCGCCGCGCTCGCCACAAAGTCGATCGTGCTTTTCGCCACCGCATAGCCTCGCGTGGCGGGGCGGGGCTGGCGGGGCTGGCGGGGCGTGTGGTCCGCACACACAGGTGTGCGCACACCTGTACGCGCGCGGGGGCCGCGGCCCCTCGACCCCGCCCCGCCGCCCGTCGCGCACCCTCTCTCCCTCCCTCCACTATCCCGCGGCCCCGGCCCATCCTCGTCAGACCGGCTCGCTCCTGTGGGAACCGCCCGCGCCGGCCGGTCACAGCCCGCGCACACACCTCGGCGGGGACACGGCGACACCGCATACCCGCGCGCCTCTGTCGCGGCCCGCCCCGCCCCGCCGCGCCCCGCACAGCCCGCCCAGACGGACGACGCTCTAATTGCCTCTAAGTGCCATTCCCAGGGCTCTAGGTCCGCCGCGCCCCGGGCCCCGGGCCGCCCGGCTAGCAGCACGTGGCCCCGCGGAAGCGCGCAAAAATAGTTAATTTCAAAATAATGTTCACCTAAAGTGCAAGTAGTGGAAGTGCGCGTTTTAGTCGCGTTTTATCCGAACCCATCAGTTGTCTGTTTTCTTTGTAGAAAACTTTGATAAAGATGCAATCACATCGAAAATATGAAAAAAGCGACTGTGTGTGCCACAAGTCGGCTTCCGAACCCGTTCTTTATATATCTACCACGCAAGAGTGGCAGTATGAGTGTATATCAATGGCCCGTTTTATCCAGCCCGGATATCAGCCGCGCACCATAATAGCCCCATGATAGTGACGGATAGCGGGCGGGGCGCGGGGCTTGTCGCAGCGGCCGCGGAGTGATATGAACGGCTGGCAGGTTATTTACCTGACGATGATAACGCCACAGCCCTCCAAGGAGCCCCGCCCCGCCTGCCCCGCGGAAGCAGCAGCAGCAGTCACTACCTTTGCCGACGTGCACCACCGCGACTCCGCACCGCCATAGCCGGGTAGTGATCGCGGGGGCCGCGCGGGGTCAGGGAACACGCAGCGCCACCGACACCTTTTTATTTTTAGCATCCGGCTCGGCGGCGGCGGCGAAAAATACTACTACGCCTCGTTGTTGTTTTCCAACAGCAAATAAAAGAAGTCGCGCGGCGGCGGCGGGGAGCTCTGCTTCTGCTCTGATCGGGCCGACGCCGCCGCCGCTGCCGCGTGACTCGCGCCGCGGAGCAGTCGCGGAGCGGAGCGGCGAACGTGACCAGCGCCGCACAGACACGGGCCGCGCAAAATAACAAGCACGTTTTCAAAAGCTTCTGCTGCGCGGAGAGAAAGGACGTCACCGCGTGACCGGCCCGCGCGTCAGCGCGTCAGCGGGCGGTGGTGGTGTGATCTCAGGAGAGTCGAGTGGTCCCGTGCGGCGGCCGCGCGGGGGCCTCGGGGGGCCCGCGGGGGCACGGCGCCTTCCGCATGGCGACTATCTCCCTCGGAGGGGGGCTCTCCACGGCAGCTCAGCGCACTGAGCGGCGGTATGGCGGCGCGATTGCGCGTAAAGAGAGTCGGAGGAGGAGAAGGGAGAGGAGGTGCGGCGATGGCGTCAACGCGCCGCCGGCGTGCACACGGTGCAAGAAGACAAGTGCACGATGTACGGCGGCGAGGAGGATGCGGACACTCGAGAGAGCCTCCGCGCGCCGCGTGACAGTTTACTGTACTGCGGTGGTTGGTGACGGCGGCGGCAGCAGGGTGGGGCCATCATCAAGGCGTAGTGAAGTGACAGTGCCGCGAGGGGCGCGGGCTCACACACACACTCTCTCTCGCTCTCTCTCTCGCTCTCGCTCTCTCTTTCGCTCTCTTTCTTCTTCTTCTTTTTCACGTTTGCGTTGATAACACACAGCACTCACAAACACGACCGACACCACCCACCCGGCAAAAGCCCACAGACAGCAGCAGGCAGGGTGCGCGTGCCCGCCCGCGCGTCACCCGCCGGCGCGCACATCACCCCCGCCGAGTTACATCACCGTCACCACCACCACCACCACAACCACTACCACCACCACCACCACCACCACACTGGGCCCTGTCACCCACCGCGAGCGAGTATCCCCGCCGGTCACGTGTAGCCCCGTCCACGTGACCCGGGGCGGTGTGTCGTGGCCGTGTGTCTTCGGCGCGGCATCGCTCTGCATCTCGTTGGTCCCGATGCCGTGCGGTGCGGTGCGGGCGCGCGGTGCGGTGCGGGTGCGGGCGTCACCGTCACCACGCCGCCGTGCCCCTCACGTGAGGCGCGGCCGGCGCGGCGCGGCGAGGACGCCGGCTACCTGTTGCTTGCGACGACACGTGACTACTACTGGTGTGCGAGCGAGACGGAACATGCGGCGCGCGCGGCGCGAGCAGCGGTGCGAGAGAGACGAACGACTAACTGCCGTGGTTTTACCGCGACCGCCGCGCGCTCGCGCCGAAAAAAAACCGGTGCAGCGCGACGGTTATTACTTTGAGCGCGGCGGTGTGGGCCGCGGGTTATTGCTGTTATTTGGCCCCGATCGACGCGCGGCGGCGGCGGTGGCGAGCCCAGCGCAGCGCCTCGCTCGACACGGCGGGTCAGGCGCCTGCATAAGCGCGCACGGCGTGGCGAGTGTCGCCGCGGGGCGGGGCGGGGCGGCGAGAGGTCACAGAAGTGGAGTCGTGGCCGTGGGCTCGGCGGAAAGCAGGCCGCCGCCATGGCCGGGCCGCGGCCTGGCCAGGCAGGCGGCCGGCGGGCTGGTCAGACCGGGGTCAAAGTTGAGGACCGCCGCCCGGGCCCGGTCTGGTCTGGTGTCCGGTTCGGTCGTCGACGTGGCACGGCGGCGGCCCACCATGGCTGGCGGCCACCAGGATAGGCAGGCACTCGGACTCGCGGCGCGGGGCCGGCGGGGGGCTTCCCCCCACGGCGAGGTGTTGTAGGGCGACGGACCCTCCCCGTCATCCATATGGATGGAAGCGGGACTGACTGGGGCGGCCGCGGGGCCTGCTCGGCGAGCAGGTGCAGTGCCCGGCAAAGCAGGCACAAAAGTGCAAAAAGCATTCATTACGTTTGCACGACCACGACCGTGCTCGTGACGCATGGGGGGCGGACGATTTTAATATCTGTCGTGTACTGTACTGTATCGTTGCGTCGGTTCAAAAACCTGCGAAAGTGATCGGAGGTTGAAGGTGATGTTATAATATTCATCAATATATATTTATTTTGTCTGCAGCTCTGAGCCACCATGTGGGTGGGTGATTTACGCCGCGTGCAGTCACACTGTACCGCGCACGCGAAGGCGTTTTTGTTTGCCTTCGTGCCCTACGGTTGTGACGGGCGTGCTGTTCACTGATCAGTGATCAGCATTTTTATAAAGTCGGCGAAAACCTTCCACTGGAGGAGGCCTCAGCCACAAAACAAACAAAACCAACTGGAAGCGATTGAATGGTTGTGACCTTTTGCAGGTTGTTCATTTCTAATGTTGCTGCTGGCCGCGCCCCACACACACAACAACACAAGTGGCTGTGCTTGTCGCCGAGGCCCTCCGTGCGTCTCGCTTGCGCTATCTCGCGCGCCCTTTCTGTTTGTGTCGCCTCGGCTGCCATAATCTCGAAAACCTCATTTCGAGTAAAGACGGGTAAAGCGGCGGTGCGGCGGCGGCGCTCTGCCTCTCGAACGGCGCCAGATAGCGCCGCGGGGCGGGGCGGCCGGGGCGCGGCGGCGGAGGCGTTCCGAGAAGCTTCACTGTCGTCGGGGCAGAGGTCGGGCGCGTGTGCTGCACGCGGGGCGGGGCGGGGCGGGTTGAGGCTCTTGGTGGTGCTATGGTGAGGCGGCTGTTGCTGATGCCGCGCGGCTCTGCATCCGACTCGGGCCGCAGTCACAGCCGGACCTGATTATGGGCGCAAAGCGTTGCAGCTTTACTCCGCCGGCGCCTAGTGCTTCAATCCGAATAAAACCCACCCACCATCAAGTCACATACGAAGCAAGAGCGCTCGGGGTTATCGGTGCCCTCTCACTCTGCTTGCTTTGGCTGCTGCTGCTGCTTCTATACGAAAAACGTGAAAACTTTCCTCTCACATGTGAAGCTCGAGACCCGCCGCCGCCGCCGCGTCGTCCGTCCGTCCCCTCTGCGCGCACGTGCTGGCCTGGCCGAGTGTATCAGTATATTATATACACGACTGGGCCCCGCTCCCATGCGCCGGTCAGCGGATTCCATGACGTCCCTTTCACCTTCCTTTCTGTTTTTCGTTTCCGCTTATCCAGCACGGCGGCGCGTTGGTTGGTCCCCCCTCTTGGTCAATGCACTGGGTGTGTGCGCATGTGTGTGTGTGTGAGACCGCTGACAATACAGTCGCGATGGCGTGGCGTGCCAACAGGGGCCTAACGGCCCGTCCGCCCCGCCGCCAAGGGCGAAGGCTCCCCGACCCGTGCGCGGGCTGAGCTGACCGGCTGACCCGCGGCCGTGATACTAAACACCCGGTGGCGTGGGTGTCCTGCTGGTGTTGTTTTTTTGGCACTGCCGCGAATTATGAAAACCGCACGGGTGCAACAAGTACGTACAGTACGCCGACTGTACTTACTCTGGCTCACGCGACAACGAGAACGTATACGTACTTTGAACTTTCAAAGTGGGATTCCCCTTTCCCCCTCTCGCTCGCGACCCGAGGCGGTGTACCCACCCCCGGCGCCGTAGAAGGTGAGCGACGGTCGTTGAGGCGCGAACAAAGCGAGAGGTGGAGTGAGATGGAGCTATGGAGCGCCTCACTCGCACCATGCGGCTCCGACCGGAGAGAGAGAGAGAGAGAGAGAGAGAGAGAGAGAGAGAGAGAGAGAGAGAGAACCCTCGCCACGAATTAGAACAAATCAAAAAATGTCACCGGTCGGCGCACTCGGGCTATGTGCCCGACGTAAATATCCGCGCCCACCCCGCCTCGCCCCGCCCCGCCCCGCCGCGCCACGCCCCGCCGCGTCTCAATGGAGCCCCGGGGCCGGGGGTGGGGCGGGGCGAGGCGCTGTGTGGACTGTGGCCGTCGTTGCTCTCCGCCTCTGTCGTCGTCGTTTTGCCGAAAATAGAAGGCGGACTCATCATCAGCCAGACGCGGCCGCATATTTACTCTCTGGAGCAGCTCGGCTGCGCGCAGTCGCGTGTCGCGGAACGGGGCGGGGCGGGGCGGGGCGGGGCCCGGGCAGGGGGCGGCGACATGTTTACGAAACCCGTATACCGCGCCGATTAGGCTGGTCGTGCTGGCCAGCCTGGCTGCTGCTGCTGCTGATGGTGAGCGGTCTGGGGCGCGGCGGCGGTGGGGCGTGGTGGGGCGCGGCGGGGAGAGGAGAGGAGGCGGCACGTGGCCGGACGGCCCGCGGGCTGACGTGGGACGGGTCGGGACCGAGACTGGACGCGTGACTCGGGCGGCGAGAGTGTGAGGTTGTGTGCATGTGAGTGTGCGTGTGTGTCTGTGTGATAGAGAGAGGAGAGAGAGACAGAGAAGCGCGCAGACATGTCACGTGTCGCCTGCTGTACTCACAAGCACGGCTGCAGAGCTTCGCAAACGGGCCCAGAAAAACAACGCCGCCGGCGGCGGCTGGTCTTGGCCTCCATGTCGGTCGGTAGTATCGTATCGGGCCGCGGGCGAGCGCGGCCAGCGATCCCCCCGACTGCCGCAACGACAGCCCACCACCACCACGGCCCGGCAGTCGGGCGCAGGGCCGCAGGACCGCGACGACGGCCCTTTGCTCCTATCGTCCGGCTGCCCGCGCGGACTAGCAGCCGCTATACGGCAGCAGATCAGACGACAGGCAGACAATTTTCGCCACTGATAAATGTACACGGCCTATCTCGATTTGTTTCGGCGCCAAACAACCGCCGCCGCTGCTGTGTCGGCACGCCGCCGGCCGGCGCGGTCTCCCCCGCCCCGCCACCGAACGCCCCCCTGTGTGATATCTCTCTTCTATTCTGACATTCGGTCGCGCCGTCGCCGCAGCAGCGCTGCTCCGTGACGGGCGGAGGGCATCGCGGGTGATTTCGCGATGATGAAACTGCTGCGGAGCTTGTACAACAAAAAGTCATTCAGTACAGATGTATCGCCCTCCTGATTCAAGTCCCCGTAGTATGTATGTATACTGTAACGAGACTGTGTTGCATACATCCGGTCGCCAATCGGAGAGTCGTCGATTATATAATTCGATCCGCTCAGTCTCGAAATTGATATTGACATTGGTCAAATATGTACATAGTAGAGAGCAACGTGACTTTTATGGACTAAACGAAAGAAAAAACCTTTATCGCTTGAACTTTTCACCTCGCTTTAAACTTTTGCGGACAAATATGTTGTTAGCTGATAGCACGGAGGGTGAGTGGCCAGCGAATTGGCATACTAGCCCGCATGCCATGCGTGCGTGCAGGTTGCCTATAGGCTCGAAGCCATTCAATGCGCCACGGTTACAGACACAGTACGTGCCGCGCTTTCAAACAATTTCTTTTAGGCCCTTTCGGGGGGGTCGGTGGGGCTAACAACCTGGCGGTGACCGAAGACAAAAACGCCTCTATTGTACTTTGAGGGTGATGTGATATGATTGTAACGCGTTGCCCGCGCGGGGTCGAGTCCCCCGCGCGAGGGCCGTGCGGTGCCCTGGCTCGCCCCGTCTCTCTCGCACACCTGTGCCTGCAAGCGGGCTGTGTGTGTGAACGAGAGGAAAGGGCAAACAATCGTGTCGCCGCGTTGCGTTTTTGTCGTGCGAGTGGCGGCGGCCGCCATAGAGGGAGTGCGAGGGAGAGGGAGTCCTCGGGAAGGGCTGAGCGAGCAAGCTGCCGCCCCGCCCCGCCCCGCCCCGCCCCGCCCCGCGGCCACCACGGCTTCCGCTGCCGCGCGGTACGGTGCAGTACTCACTCACAGCGGGCTGCATGCGCTGCAGTGTACTGGCGGGTGGCGGGCGGGTGGTGTATACACTGCATATAACACACTCACGCAGGTTGAAGGCCGCAGCCGCACAGCCGCACAGCCGCCGCACCTGAGTGTCACGTGGGGCACGGCACGGCGCGGTGCGGCGGGCGCACGACGGGCGCGCTCAAGGAGACCTATTTCAAGCTGTATGGGAGGCCCGGCCCGGCCCGGCCCGGCCCCCGGAGGCCCCGCCGTACGCCCCGCGCGCACGTGCGTAAGTGTCTGCTCTTGTTTTTGTGTCCTTGCGGCAGCAGAGAGGGACCTTCGCGACGAGCGCCCACGAGCTGCACAGCGGGAGATATGCGCCGGCTATCTCAGATGCACTTGCTCATATAGATGAGCGCATATTCGCGAGCAAAATAGAAATTAGGTTATGTAAGCATTATGGGTCGTACGCGTCAGGTGGTACCACTCTCTGTCTATTGTCATCTAGACAAGCACTCAAATAACACAGTGTTCCTCGAAAGGGAACATTTTTTTTTCTAGCAGACTACTGGAACAAGCGAACGAGGCAGCAGCGGGGAAGGTCGACATCGCCGCGACCACCATACAGCACCAGGTCGATCCCCGTGACAAATGTCGCGCAGCGCCATTCGATACTTTGAGCGAATCGATATATCGTACCAGATTGTGTGTGCTGTGCCGCCAACGCACTGCAGGAAGCTCGAGGTTGACTGTGTGTGTGTGTGTGTGTGTGCAACGGCGCGACGTGGCGTCGCATGAGGTGCGCCTGCCCATTCCACTTTGTTT